TTTCTTTATTTATTTATATTTCAGAAAATGTTGTCCAAAAATTTTAATGGGTGGATACATTTTTTACTACTTATGTTCTCGAATGCAGCGCGACATGACCCGTGTCCCACAATTTATATTTCATTTACTCGTTAATTTAATCTATTAATGCGAACAAATGTAGGCCTACACTTATGAAGAAACGTAAACAATTCATCAAAACTAATACCTGCAAGATGGAATCTGCTAGCTGTGTATAGATAGGTGCGTACAGTAAGTGTTGATGTGCATAAACAGTTGAACACCCCTCTCTCCTCCCCCGCCCCCTCCCCTTAATTGAAAAAAGCCTCCTATCTTGGTTCAATCTCCAGTAGGTCGAGTGTGTTTTGTCAGGAGCCAGGGGCGGCGCCAGGAATTTCCCGATGAGGAGTTCAAGCTCAAGGGGGTCGACGCACCCCCCACCCCTCCACGTCGGGGAAGTCTAGTAACATCCTCCACCCCCCAACCCCCAACCCCGGAAGGGGAAAATCTTAATTCGTCGGGGAATATTTAAAATGTTGTATTAATTATAGGATTCTTTATTTTCAAAAAGAATGTCGGGGTACTAGTCCCCCTGTCGAGGGTACTAACCAACTGTCGGAGGTCACTGTAGGGGAAGAACTGGAGCACCACTGCAACGCATACGGTCGCAATAGCATAGGGCCTACAACACCTCGCACATACGGTAGCACTGCTCGTACTAAACAGTTTTTAATCCCTGAAATTTTGACAGCTTCGTAAGACGTGTAGTTTCGGCGCTCGAGGTTTTATTTTTCTCCGACGACCCTGCTGGTCGAGTGCATGTTTGCTGTTGTGTTAAATAATAATTATAATACTTTGAAGTGGTAATTATTAGTTGTGTAAATTGTTTATGTTGTGTCCGACTGCAATCCATCACGTATGTACGGTAATTCGCAGGAACAGGTTGCTCTCCTCAGAAATCACTCTCCAATAAGCTTTAGAAGAGAAAATAGGGCCAAGATCCCGTAAACAATCTGGGTAATGGTGCAATGTGCAAAGAACGAGTCAGTGGGGAGATATATCGTTTTCTTTTTCTCGGCCTACAGGTCCTCCCTAGAGTTTAACGCCATGTCCTCTGAATCAGGCGTCGTGTGTATTTGGTTGACTATTAAAATGTAGATAAAGAAATTGGCTAATCCCAATAAAAACAAAATACCCTTTATATTACTGTAGTTATAACTGATCGTCGAACTGCGGTGTCCTTGTTCAATAAGAAAAATACAGCTACCGTATATACTTGCGTATAAGACGAGGCTTAGAATAGCAAATTACGATCGGAAAACGGGGTCGCTTTATACGCACGACATACACAACTTAGATTTATTAAATCACTTGCCTTAAGGGCGAATATCGTCCGTAACACATGAATTTACTACTGCAGTGAAGCTAATAAATGTTAGTTTAAATTAACGCAATTTTAAATACGGAGAAATAAGATTTTGATGTTTAAAAACTCATAAACGGTACGTATTTTGGAGGAATATTAGCCTCGCATTATTGGCTCCGTTTATAGGCAGCTAGATGCAGTATCAAGACCATAACAAGCAGAAAAATTATGAATTCCGACGATGAAGCAGGGGGTCGTATACGCCCGACATACAAAAATATCCAAACATCTTCGCAAACTCATGGGTAATCTTATACGCGAGTCGCCTTATAGGCCTATGCCTACGCGAGTACATCTTGAGGTCAAGCGTGGAGCGCAACTATAAGGAAAACCTGAGCATTGCTTGAAGATAACATACATCACGTGGATAGGGCCTGTTTAGAGCCGTCCATTTTCAATCGCCATATAATTTCTTCTATAACGATTAACCGTGAGTTGTCAGTAAAACTTTTACTGGGTAAGGCATGTGGTTCAGCCTTACAATTTTTTGGAATACCCAGCCGAAATTCAGTATAAAAAAACGTGTTTCATAAGAAATTCACGTATATTCAATTTTTAATTGTTGTTTTATCAATCACCGTTCATAAAAAACGGACACTTCACCAAATATTGCAATCGTCAGGTATGCACGGTACTGAACGTGCCATATCCACTGGCCGATCAGACACCTCCCTGAGTTCACAGGTGGTACGGTAACTACTTGCACGCACAGGCGGCTAGATGTGTATAAGAGACAGTTGCCTCACCTCATCCATCATCTACAAAGCCACTGTCTACTCAGATGATGACAAAAAATGCTACACCGGGCTCACTGACACACCGTTCAACACCCGATACACAAACCACAAATACACTTTTAACACCCCCAAACACAGAAACAGCACCGTACTCTCCAAATACGTATGGAAATTAAAAGATAGCAACACACCCTACAATAGCCCACGAAAGTCTAGAAGAAGACTTATTTCCAGTGGGGTCCTTCTGGTGGTGATTGGGCAGTACACCGGGAGACATTCCCCTACTCTTTTCCGAAGAGTGTACTGCGTTCTTTAACGTGCACATGGGCCATAATGCACACGGAACCAACGGCTTAAACGTCTCATCCGAAAGACGGTGCGCTATTGTAACTTGTATTTCAGCCCTCTAGCTGAAACACAAGGAGAGGCAGCGATGGGAATTGAACCGGGGACCTAGAGATCTCCACGGTACAGCGCACACACAGCGGCTACCACCAGATTAGCCGACTGAGCTAAGCTGCTCTCCATCCATGCTCTCCATATAATTTTATATATATATACCGGTACGGTATTTTAAAGTAGTGTTACTTGAATACAACATACAAGTACATATCTTACTTATGATAACATTTGTTTGCATTGCCGATTATAATATAACAATTTAAATACTAATTCTATTATTATATAGTTTCTTTTTAATATTTAATTGTGTTGCCAGGAGAAAAAACAATTTCAAATTTTAATTTGATAATAATGTTATCTTTTATCTTGTATCTTGTATAATTTAATGAAATTAACACTGTTATACTCTTGATAGGCACTGCCCCTAGTGGCGCGCACACAGAACCATGGTTTTTTGTTGTAGTTTCCGATTCAGAAACAAAATCCAAGATTCGAGTGATAGTTGAGAACGAGGAACGCGTCAATTATGAGAAGAGGATGGGTCAGCAATGGCTGGATGACTTGGCAAAACTGAACACGAAATGGAGCAAACCATATATTGACGTCGCACCTTACGTCATCGTCGTTTTTAAGCAGGTCTGTATATCCTAACGTTTGTCTGTTATTATCAATAAGGAACTATTGAAATCGATAAAATCTGGGATCTGTATCGAGATTATATAATTGGTGTTATGTCTAAAATAGAATGCACAATTCTGGTGGATGCCTATTGGCATAATAATTCATTGTTTATATGCACATTCGTCGTAAGTACTCATTCATAGAATCATTAATCAAGTTGTATTATCGCCGTTATTTTGCCAAAAGTGTTGTCCATGTTTTCAGTAGATTTGTTTTTCCTCCTTTTTTCTAAATCAGATTAATTTATATTGTTTAATATTTACTTACACTTTATGACATTACTGAGAAATCTTTTAAAAGAACTAACAATATGTATTAGAAGTTTTATTATAGTGTTATTATATTTTAAAACATTTGTTGCAAATTAATCATGCAGGTGTATGGCTTGCAAGAAGATGGTACACGAACCGTTAACTATTATCATGAGATGAGCTCTGCGATCTCTGTGGGGCTTCTCCTTGCTGCCTTACAGGTAAAAAAAAAAACCCAAAAAAACCAAACATTCAAATACAAATACATCGGCAGTAGGCGCATTTGTTGTCTCGGTCAGTGGCGGCGCCATGGAGCGTCTGAAATCTGGGGAAGGGGGGTGGGGGGCTAGGTACGATTTGAGCGGGCCTTGTCGGGTGTCGATTAAAATGTTTCGAAAGTGGCCGAAAAAAAACAATTTAGGGGTTTCATAGGCTTATTTATTTTATAAATCGATTTAATCGATTTTATAGATAGTCTACTAATATGTAGAAAATACATATAATTTGTTTTTCTTCCCACGAATTGTGGTTTTTCTCCTTTTCTCTGGGGGGGGGGGGGGGGTGGGG